ATGTACTAAATGTTGAAAACCATGAAACATGAGGGTAGTAAACAGAGTTTAACCCTTTTTTTATTGTTTCTGGAATACTGGTGGTACATCACGTATCATTATATAAGTAGAGAAAATTTTTATTTTTTTAAGTTGTTAATTTTTTAATACAAGTATCTCATTATTTATATAGTAACATGTGGTGTACTACCAGTGACATCCCATATCGCCCAGGGGAGTGATCCTTAAATGTATATTCCAATCCCTACCTAGCACGAGGCCTTTTGGGAGCTCACTGGCTTCGGGTTCCGTAGGAACTCCGAAGTTAAGCGAGAAGGGGGCTAGAGCAATCCCATGATGGGTGACCCACTGGGAAGTTGCTCGTGAGTTCCCAAAAACAAAACCATGAGGGAATGGTAAGCCCAAAGCGGACAATATCATGCTACGGTGGTGGAGCGGGCCCGGGAAGTGATCCGCCTCAGGCCGGGATGTGACACCACCCTTTATTTCGGACACATTGAAGAATCTCTCTGTATGTTGATGGTCAGTCGAAATATTTTGACATTTTTACTCAAGCACTTTGGGCTCTTTTCCATGGTCTTAAAAGTTTTCTGAGATCCTTTTTTAGCTTCTAATTCAGGTAGCTTCTGTGCTCATCCTTTTGCCAACCAAACCTCATATCCGATGCTTGGATTTATTAATGAGTGCGAAACTTTTCTGGAGGAAAGTTGCGGCAGTGGTATATTGCTCATGTTCATTGTAATTTGTGAGAAGAATGTTGCAAACTTGCAACAGATGCTTCAGTTGAGAGATGGCCAAAAAGGCCCCAAAAAGCTTTATGACTGGTTGTGCTGAGGATGAGTGAGAGTAAAATTTTGTTATTTTAATATCAAAATTCAAACGGAAATGTATGTTCACTTGTTCATGTGAAAATGTAATGATGGTGGCATTGAAAAGAGACATGTGAGAGCTTCTTGAAGAAGCCAACTCCCACCATTTCTCATCAAATCATTCACAACACTTAAAATGACTCATCCATTGCATGCAAAACTCTCGTAACACTCTTTTTCTCTCTCTCTTGCATGCATTTCTCTAATTGTTGAGGAAGAAGAAAGAAGAAAGGGAGGTAGCTAAAGTAGAAGAAAGAGTACTCTTCTTAGAGAGTAAAAGTGAGGTAGCGTAGTTTTTTTGGAGAGAAATCAAACACACATCCACCACCACCACCATTTTTGGTGTGTGCCACCCCCTCCTTGTATAATAAGTGTGTACTAGCCTCTCACACTTATTCTAGACCAAACACTCGTCTCCTACAAAGAAGGTGTCAAAAGTTAGAGGACTCTAGCTTTAGTGTTTAGGAGGAGAAGATATACAAAGTGGATCAACTTGAGAATGCTTTGTCAAGGAACATACTTAGATTCAAAATTCACTCCGAAGGTATAAACATTAAACTCTCTCTTTAATCTTGAAAGAAAATGAGTAGATCAACCACTCAGGTCAATGATCTTGAAGGGGTTTGTTTCACGACTAGTTTTATCACTTCTACTCTTTATTAATTTGTGCATGAATGTTTTTATTTTATTTTTTTATCCTGCTTATTATGTATATGCATGATTATTTAGTTTGCAAAATTTTAATCTCTAACCATACAAACTCTTTTAAGTTGTATCAGAGCCTTAGACCTGATGGTTGATTTATTCTTTTGATTTTTGTTCATGGTTTTGCATTTGGTTTCCAAAGAGTTGAGGTTATGACTCTTTGATGAGTTTTGGGAACATGCATTAGGTTGAGAATTAAAAAAAAAAAAAATGGATATTTCAAGGGGGTGTCGGCCATGGTGTTTTGGGAAGGATTTTGGTCATGCATTTTGGTTGCAAGACTAGATATTTATGATTTGCATATGTGTGAGTTTGCATGTAAATTTTCGTGACGAAATTTCAAGGGACAATGGATGTTCTAGACTTGTGGTTGCATGAATGTTCTTGAATTGGTTTTAAGTTCGTATGCATGTTCATGTGAAGTTTTGGTTTTGGACTCTCCAACGTAGGAATTGAAATTGAATGGCATCGGCAGTCATCAGACACTACACGAATATATCTAATCGAGCGAGAAAGAGGCTATCAACACAAGAGATGTTGCTTGGTAGTGTTGGGGGTTTGACCAATAAGAAGTCATTTTGAGGTCTTATCTGTGCCACTACACAAGCAGGAATAGTGTGTGAGACTTAACTAAGCAATACTTCCCAATAAGAAGTCATTCGGAGGCAAAAGGTTTGCTAGAGGCCGAAATATGGGTAATCGTAGTTAGTACAAAAGAGTAAAACTACTCTCTCACTGGTCATCAAAGTTGCCAATAAGAAGTCATTGATCTAAGGTATACTTTGGCAATTGGTGAGCCTCCGATAACCCATTTAGAGTATAACACTCTCTAAATTCTAATTTGAGTGATTACATAGTTCGATTAGAATGGTGGGTCGTTTCATTTGAGTCAAAGACCCAATTCAAATGGTCCCGGAAATCAATCTCAATTAAATTTGTTTTAATTATCCTTGTAGATATGAGTGATGCTATTGAAGAAAGATCAATGACATGGTTTGAAATCAAGAAGAACTTTCCGGCTTGGAACCGCAAAGCAACGTGGTCTATCATGATAAACTCAAAGAATACGAAAATGAGCGTTGGGATAAAGAGGTTCAATCTTATCAACGTCTCATGGGTACCTCTGTGAAGAATTCATATCATTCACCTGAATAACATGAAAGAATATATGGCGTGGTTGGGGGTTTTTAGTAGCGATTGGTATCATAATGCATGTTTAAGGTAAGTGGGGTCTTGTTTTCTTTTACCACAGAAAAAAAAATTTTGAGACCCCCTTTCAATATTAATATCATATCTCACCATACTTAACTCATTAAAATTTATCTCTTTGAATGGAGGGATCTACCACCAAATAATGTAAATTTCGGTCTTTAGATATATTTTTTGGTCAAGATGGATAGTTTAAATCTCTCATTGAAAGACTTTCCAGCCAATTAACCAAATTTGTAAAATAAATATTTCAAGTCATTTTGCATCTCCCATTAAAGGTGCTCTTCTATACCCCACTTACATGAATTGGTTGTTGATTAACGAAGTGCCACATGTAATCTCAGAAAAGTATTGTTACACTTATAAAGTTATGCCACTAACAATGACTTGAGCTATAAGCCCATTGCATACGTAGATATTGAAAAAAGGAGAACCAAATCTAGCTTGTAGTTCGGGTGAATATTTTAACCACGTGAGATACACGCTTTTTATACACGTGTCGGCATATTATTGATACATTTTTGTCCCTTCATTAAGAAATTGAAACATGAGACAATGTACATGTTTGCATGGATAATGTCTTGTAAGGTTTCTTAACTTTCTTATGTGGGACAGAACTCACATAATTACACTTCCCATCATGTATAATAACACTCAAGTCACGCATGTGGACAAGACATATTGAGTGGCATAGATTATGCGTGGGCGTTTAGATTCACATGTGAACCACCATGCTCTTATACTAGAAAAATGTTGAGGTTCCACCCTATATCTAATTGTGGGTAACCCAACTTCTTATAAACCAATATGCATGTTCGTAAGTAAGGCTCATACCATTGTTTTGGTGGTCTTTTACCATGATAGGTTTCTAATTATCACACTCACGCAATATTTACTTATAAGGAATAAAAAATAGAATTATTTTGATTCTTGAGTTTTATGCATTTATTGAAGGAAAAATTAGTATATCTTGTCCCTACATTCCAAGGTGTATTGACTAAGATCTTATCAGTTTTTAGATTTTGATTAAAGTCCCTAGCATTAATGTATTAGTGAATTACATGTCAGTTACATAATTTTTTAATATAAAAATTTGTAATTGATTTAGGATTTTAATACTCGCACCCTTATTAAAGTCCTAATAATTTTCAATTCAAAATATTTCCAAAATATGAAAAATAAAATTAGAATAAGTTTGTACCCATTAATTTATATGTACCCATTTGTATAATTTTTCAATTTTTAATAATAGTAAATGTACATATTCTTAAATATACGAATTAGTTATGTGTAAAATGTACCCCTTTTAATATAAAATGTACCCTTTTTTATATAAAATTCATTTAATCTTTTTTCTAATCAATTTTTTAAACTTATATGGGTACATTCTATTTTGCTGATTTAAAAATATATTCATGTCAAGTTTAATAGAAGATATTTAATAATGTTATTAAGCTTAATATCTTCTTTTTTTTTTTGTGTTTTTGAAAAATGTACTCATGTTTTGGTACAATAATTTTTTGGTTAGTTTTGATAAACGTACCCATGTGTACACACACACACACATACAATATATTGGAGACCATAATTTATCTTTAATATTTATAGGTTTTATTTAAAATCTCATTAATATAAATAACTACAAATTTTATTTTTAATTTAAAAATATAATAACATACATAGAAATATATTATTACATTAATCAAAAAAATACAAGTTTTTTCTTAAAATTTGTAATCAAATACCCTAAAGTAAGGAATTGAATCGAATATGGAAGATTAGGTAATTTGATTCCCTTTCTTTCTCTTTTTTAAGCTCTCCGATTCTGTTAAGTAAACATGCCAAAAAAACAGGTATATGAGTTTATCTATGAGTAACATGTTGAGTTACGCCATGAAATCAGACAATTTGTTTTATTTAATCGTAATTTGTAGATGTGATCAAAGAACGCATTGCATCAGTTCTTGTTATTATGCTAACACTTTGGCATCTCGATGTTATTCAATTATATTTTTGAAACCCACTAACCAACCAAAGCAAAATTTAGACAAACAAATGAATAAAGTAAACCTTATTTGAAGCATTTAAAACATGTGATCGCAACAATGGGAACCGGTGAGGCTTCATGGAAGCAACCCCATTCAATATAATAACATACTTTACGAGCAAAAGGATAAGTCCCACATCTCCCTGTATATATATAGAAACCCTGATAAGGCGATATATCACAACTCCAAAAGCCATCAGATTTACATATCACACTCACCACCATCGTCATTTCAATTCGTCAAAGGATCACCTATGTCAACAGAAAGCTTCTCAAGTTCCAACTGGGCTTTCTTGGAGTCGATTCGTCAACATCTGCTGAACGATGATTTGGAAACACAGGAAACATGTTTGGCCAATGTAGTTCAGCTTGATGCACCTTTGCATAATTCTCCAAGTACTTCGAGCTCTAGCAGTGCTCATTTTGTTGTGGAGGGCTCGGGTAACACAATGGGAGTAATGAACCATGCTTTGGAGACATCAAATAAGTTCGAGTTGGCGGTGGGGGCTGTTCAATCACCGTTCCGCGGGCGCCATTTTAGGGGTGTCAGGCGACGACCATGGGGGAAGTACGCAGCGGAGATAAGAGACCCAAAGAAGAATGGGGCGAGAATCTGGCTCGGAACCTATGAGACAGCGGAGGATGCTGGCTTGGCTTATGACCGAGCCGCTTTTAAAATGCGTGGCTCCAAGGCTAAGCTTAATTTCCCTCACCTCATTGGCACACATGATTCGGAGCCGGGTCGTGTCGCTCCTAAACGTTGCTCTCCGGAGCCATTATCTTCATCGGTCTCATCTTCTGATGGTAGCGGCTCACCAATGCTTAAGCGGAGAAGGAATGTAGTTAGCTCTGCGGCTAAAGCCAAATTGGAAGTTGCAGATGAACAGCTTCAACTTAACTCTTTCTCATTTGGTAGCCATCTATTGCTTAACGAGTTGTATACATTTGACGATCTGTTTGCCATCTAAGAAAGCAGATAATATCGTTTGTTAAAAAAAATAACGGAGATTGTTCTCTCCCTTTTTTCCTTTGTAGTTGTGTGATAAACAATCTTGTACATCACTAACACTACAAGTGTGTATTCTTTTACTTGTTGGAAAAAGTTTTAGGTTTAATATCAAATTGTTGTTAACTTATTGTGTGGTTTTATCTAACCCGTCGAAAGGATGAATCCTACATAAAAAAAAGTAAAACAATAAACATTACATGTGTTTATAATGAATTAGACTACTTCCCATATTGTGAATTCTTATAAGGTGGAACAACAATCTTACAATTGTATAACCCTTTCAGGTTCTTCTCAATTATTTACAAGAGCAAAAGAATAGGACAATTCTAAAAACGAAAATAGCACATGCATATATTGAGAATACAAAATTCAATATCCGATGTTTGAAGTCGTACATTAAAGAATTCAAATACCCCGTATTGCATTATATATTCGTACATTACAGTAAATAATCACAAAGCTCCATCAATTACTTGTATATTTTTTTTTTCAAGTGATGAAATGGGAATCTCAGAACCTCGCAAGCAAGGATATAAGAGACTTTTATCTACTTGAGAGCTTCAATTTCGTATATCAGTTAATTATATATTAAATTTTGTAACAATTCCTCTAACTAACAAATCTATGCCAATCGCCTCAACGCATTTCTATCCGAAGTCCTATCACCAAATTGAACACCCATGTTGCTAATATGTAGAGAAATCTAAAAGATAATTGTCCCCTGAGAAAGTTCTGTACCTTCTCAACAAGTAGTAAATCGTTGAGAGATCATTTACTCATATTAAATTAAAACTTACTGTCATCCAGGAGAGCATTCGACGATATGCTACAGTTGACATAAGCACATTGTCCTCTTTTTCACTTTGACCAAGCTTTATCTCTTTCGATATTTCGTGGCATTAATATCAAGGATTCACAAAAGTTGCAACTTTTTTTTGCATTGCTTAGGTTTTGTTTCGTTGGGTTCTCCAAGTAAGGTTATAGAAGCAACTATAAACATTCAAAGGTGAGTATTAATTTGTAAATATTACTAATTAATGGCTATCCACTTATGGTCAATATAAAATAGGAAAATTGGTATCCAGTCCCTAGTTTCTAATGTTCATTGACTAAGACCTTATTAGTTTTTAGATTTTGATCAAAGTCCCTAACATTAATATATTAATGAATTACATGTAAGTTACATAATTTTTATAATAAAAATTAGTAATTGATTTAGAGTTTTAGTACTCACACCCTTATGAAACTCCTAATTAATTTCAATTCAAACATTTCCAAAATATAAAAAATAAAATTAGAATAAGTTTGTACCCATTAAATTTTTATAAAAAAAATGATATGTACCCATTCTTAAATATACCAATTTGTTATATGAAAAATATACCCTTTCTAAAATATAAAATGTACCCATTTTTTATATAAAATTCATTCAATGTTTTCTCTAATTCATTTTTTAAACTTATATGGGTACATTCTATTTCGTTGATTTAAGAATGTATCCATGTCAAGTTTAATAGCAGAAATGCTTAATAATTATTAAGCCTAATATTCTTTTTTTTTTTGTTTGTGTTTTTGAAAAATGCACCCATGTTTTGGTACAATAATTTTTTGGTTAGTTTTTCATGAACGTACCCATGTATACACATAATATATTGGAGAGTATAATTGTTGATCCTAAAAATTACAAAACCTACGTGGCGCGCAGGCCGAGTAACTAATAAGCTAACTACTTCCTTCGGTTAAATGCAGGGCATGCCAACTCGTCGGCCGAGCTCGGCCGAGGAGTAAAATTTGTTGGTGTTACGTCGAGCGCGTTGTTGACTTCTGTATCTTGCGACTGCGGCCGAGGAAGGAACAAATCTTGGCCTTTGGATTCTCGAGCCTGAAGACAAGGCTGCTAGTTCTGCGAAGTTCACAAATTGTCGGCGCTCGATTCAGTCACAGTGATTATATTCGTAAGAATATAAACACGTCGAATCAACACCAGACTATACGGACACAAGTACTCAAGGGTGATGTATGTCTTGATGGTGAATGTGGTTCGGCAGTCAGAATGCTAAACTCTGAAACTCACTCGTGAGTATCCAATCATAAAATCACTCGACGTCTAATATGCCGAATGTCGTAACTCGTAACACTTTACTTTGCCAAAAAGTCTAATAAGATGACCTCTGCTAATAAGGATTCGAAAACCCTCCTCGACCGAGACTTGGATAGGTAACCAATCGGCCTCGACGCAGTGTTGTTTATCCAAACTGAAGGTGCTCCTTGGTCGGCTGATTCTACGGCAACAGTGCTGTTTGTCCAAACTGAAGGCGTTCGCTGGTTGTCTTCACAGTGCTGTTTATCCAAACTGAAGATATGTCGGTGGGAAAAAAGAAAATAAAAAATCTCAAGATGTTTGAGAGGTTTTGTGCAGGGCAGTTGTGTGTTAAATTGAAGGTCCCGAATTGTTGCATGATGTCTTGTATTTATAGCACCAACTCCTTCTTGAGATCGAATTAAGCTCATATCTAGATTGGGAGTTCTTGTTTCATTCCAACTTTGCTTCAAACAACCCTACTCCCATTAGGACTTTGAACTCACCCTTTTTTGGGGCTTTATTCATTGTTGGTCGAGAGTCCTAATTGCACTAGGACTTCCTCGACCCCTTTGCTGATCTGAACTATTCCTTCTTGTAATAGGACTCGACCATCCCTCCTGAATGGCCCGGAATCACTAGACAGCCCATAGTATTTTTGACACGGCTTTGGGCCAAGCACAAACCTACACTCAGCCCAACAATATTATTTTGGACCCAAACAATAATATATCTTTAATATTTTTAATCTCATAAATTATGCGTTTTATTTAAAATCTCATTAATATAAATAACTACAAATTTCATTTTTAGTTTAAAAATAAAATAACCTACATAAAAATACATTATTACATTAATGTCAAGGACATCGATCAAAAAATAAAAATCACAAAGGTTTTAGTCAAAGAACATTGATAGTTAGAGACCGCATCTAAAGTGTCTGTATATAATATCTTATCAGATTAATTCTTTCTTTATTTGCTTGATGTATATAGGGAACTTGATGGTCTCCAAGTAACCCTAGCACAAAATTAAGAAAGTCAAATGAGAATGAAAGGACATTCAAGTACGCTCACAATATTTGACCGTAAAACCATATAAAACACAAGAATACATGCATCGAATTCACTCCAAGTTGGAGCAACGTCCATGTTGACGTAGTTTCTGTTTCAACCATATATTTTGTGTTGATTACATTGTACATAGAGACTTTGTCTCTTTTTATAGGATATTAAGGTGTGCCTCTAGGTTTACAATGTGAAGATGAGAGAGAGTGTGACCCATCCCTAAAATGAGAGTAACAAACACGTTTTTGATGCACATGTTTGGTGTAAGCATATTACTCTTTAAAGAGCCTAAGATGCACCCTTGCAAAATTTCTTAATTTTCTCGTAAATCATTGTTTTGGTGAAGGCTTTTACCATAATAAGATTTTCTCGTAAATCATTCTTTTGGTAAAGGCTTTTACCATGATAAGTTACTAATTAAGGGGAAGATATATAAACATCGACATCCAGGTGTTTGAGAATTTTGGTATAAGGCAAATAGAATACATATAGTTTTATACCAAATAAAAGCCACAAGTGAAAAGTTAAAAGGAAAATTGACCATGATGAGTTTACAACTTTTAAGTGCAACACTAACCAAGATTTGGCTATAATATTTACATATATTTAATATGTAGAAAACCGAACTAAGGTGAGAAAAATATTTCTGAAAGCATTGATTTGCATTGCTTCATTCCTATGTATAAATAGTTACATAAGATTGATTTACAAGAGTCCTATTAGGATGTTAAGTTTCCATCTATATCAGATACAAGAGATAACGAATATCATCATTAAAAGTCAGAATACATTACTAAATGTAATCTATGTTGGACTCTTGTTTAACATAATACAACCACAAGTTTAACGGTTAGTTAGTGATTGTATTATATGCTTGTGTAATCAGTCTTATTTAACCAATCTAAGAAAAAGTTGCTGAAATAAGTAAATTCTAACACGAATTTTATGTGCCCTTTTATTGTGATACAATAAAAGGGTGGTACTATTCACACACACTTCTTAGTTTCCGATCATCGAATCAAATGAATTGAGGAACATCAAAATACAAAATTTAATAAGGATGTGCGAAAAGTAAAAAATGGTGTGTGAATAGCACCACCCAAATGAAATCCTCTTCTCCTTCTTCCTCATACGGATCAAACATCCTCTTAACATTTCTCTTCCATTTTCAAGATCTAAAGAATGCGATTCTAATGGAAGTTGCTGCTGAGTTCTTCTCAAAGACTTGGAAATCAATGCCTTCCTTATGGTTTCCCTCATCCCCGTCACTGCTCTCTTGCTCGCAAGGGTTTTTAAGGTGCTCTACTAGTGGATCAAGGTGGGGTTGATCCATAGGTCAATCCATAGTAGGGTATTTTTCCTATTTTTATGGTGAATAAAATTATACAGTGGGTGTAAAGATAGGACAATGAAGTAGGCCTAGTGGCACTCTTTATAATAATGAGCAAAAATATTCCTACACACACACATATATATATATATATAGGTGAATACCCATGTGTCCAAATCAATTCAGTTATAAAAGTTTATAAAGTCTAATAAGAAAAGTGATTTCGTTGATGGTGGGCTATGATAAGTTTATTCGTCTTCAAACTCCAACAACTTTAACATTTTTAGGGGTGTACTATCCACATACTCTTTTGTGCTTCTTACATACCCTGTTTAAGTTTATTCATATTCGTATTCATCTGATCCGAAGGTCGAAAATAACAAAAAATATGTGAGAAGGAAAAAGAAGTTTATGGACAGCACACCCAACATTTATCCTTAATGAGAGAAGATCGCCTAAAAGAACACAAATTTGATAAATAAAGTGCAAACTATATGTAAAAGTATAAGCAGCTAAGCTAAATGGTTTTAGATTTTGGGTGGTGTTTTCTAAAAACTCATTTTTACTTTTCACACATTTCTTATTAATTTTTGTTCCTTGATCTTCTTTACTTCATTTGAACCGACAACCAAAAAT